TACCCTTATGTTGTAGGATGACAAGAATTGTCCCTAAATGAGAAAGCACTTTGAGGATTTGTACTTAACTCGATTAAGTACGAATTGGATTGTTAAGATCCTGACTTAGTGCAGAAAATTCTTGATATTCCGTTGGTAAAAATCTGAGAAGGCACTTGACCTGAAAATATCCGAACAATTTATCGGGGTGCTCTTTTATCAGAATTGTTCGAAGGGACTAAAATAGATGATAAGTTGGAATTAAATAATAAGACAAGATGAAAGAAAATGATTGAAATACATTGGATCTGTAGAATGACCAGAATACCCCTGTATTGGAAATGCCCAAGAATATCACCAAGCTCAGGAATGATTGGATATCCTCGAGCTCTGAAATGAATGGAATAAAACTAAACACCAAAATTACCAAAATAACCTTATGGCCTAAACTAAGTAAATGTCTTGGATTAATTAAGGAATCCAAATAAGCATAGGTGTTGGGCTATCTTTAAAAGTAATGGAACATAATTTAAGTGCGTATATCAACCCTAAAGCTATGTCAATACCTAGATGGCATAGATATTACTTGAATGCGTGTTCGTCTTCTCAAGTTTGGCTCGATGATAAATTTAAAATTCAGGAACGTTTGAATTACTCTGGAAAATCCCGAAGTAACTGGAATGGACATGATTGCTAAATGAACTAGGTAACCTCAATGACTGAGGATTTAGTAAGTGATTTAGATAAGTCTGGAAACTTTGATGAGTTTACATAGTGTACAATTACAATGGGTTGTGAACAAAATAATCAAATACGACAGCATTACATGATATTGTGGAAGCGTGGAAATGAAATAAAGACATTGGAAGATCTATTCAGCGATGATTTCAAAAAAAATGATATTTGGACAAGAATTTGTGGTATTAAAGAGTAAATACCCTGGAAGAACAATGAATTGACCAATCGACAAGCATTAGTTCTGGGAACTATTCATCTAAGAGTTATCCGATAATCCGATCAATCGACATAGAATGTAAATGTCCTGAATCTTCATTTCTTCCTTATCAGCTCAAGTTATATTCTGAATAACTGATGATTTCGTTAGTTATTGAACTATTCCTATAGTGATTCTAAATATCGACATTATATCGGTAAACTGAAGATCCTTGTTTCTCTCTCCAATAAGATTATCCAGTATCTCTGAAGAATATCTGATAATATTTTGATTCTCTAGTGTGTTCCACATATACTACATGACAGTTTTATATATTTCAAATGAGTTTAATGAAAGTATTGATTTACTGGTTTATGAACCATGGCAATATGGTATGTGATCTCCGATTACGGTTTTCAACGAAAAGTATGAATTGTACATGATTTATGAAATAATGGAATTTACTGGTTTATGAATTATGGTTACCTGAAATGTGTTATTTGGTTTCCTGTTTTCACTGGAAAATATGAATTGTTCCTGATTTATGGAATCATGGAATTTAGTAGGTGTGCAGGTGGGTGTAAGGTTCTGTGGAACCTACACATTATGGAGTGTTGGATGGAGGGAATAATATGATTTTTGATAAACGTTTTATGGGATGGTGTTGTTGGAGGAAGTTATCGTTACTGCATGCTCCTCTGCTTTGTGCTCAGGGTAAGTCCTTACTTGGTGTGTAGGTGGGTGTATGGTTCTAGGGAACCTACACATTATGGAGAGTTTGGTTGGAGGGATTAATATGGTTTTTGAATAAAAATATGTTTTTAAACTACTACTGTTTAAAAAGAAAAGATTTGTATCTCTTCACTGATTTTATGGGAACACACTAGATAACATATTCTGATCTCCTGAACTCGATCATCTGAAATATTTCTCTAAACTGAAAGCTCATTATCTGTTACTACCTGAAATATCAGTAGGATCTCTACTCAACATAAATATTTGTAGATGTCTGATCTGATAAGGAAATATATGTTTATCTATATCTGCACGTTCTTCAGCATCATCTGGTAGTTTTGTATTACTGAGCTTTCCGAAGCTCACTCTATTACTCAACATTTCAGGTTAAAAGAATTGTACCAGTGCAACTATCGTCATCAGTATGGGAGTTCTTCCGGCGTTGCTTCCAGAGATTGATACATGTGATTAGGTGGCATATAATTGTATTTTGTGTTATATACAAGTCTGAAAATATGTTTTTATTTCTGCATACTGATAAATCATTTTATAAGTTACATGTTTTAAATAAAAGTTTTAAATTTTCCTCTATTTTTACAATGGGTCGCTCTGGTGGCCCTAATGTGACACTCCAGATCGGATCGGCTTATCCGCATCTGTCTGAGGGGGTTACATTTAGAATGAGATCATAGTTTGAGTGATTGATACATAATTTCATAAAATTTAGAGACAATTTAGAATAGAGGTTATACGTTGAGAACATACTATGCGATTATCTCTAATTATATAATACCTCGGTCCTAATATTTCTTATTGACTTTTTAAAAGCCAAATTTTTTAATTTTTGACCATTATTATTTTAAATATTTTAAAAATTAAAATTTTATTAAATATATATATTCAAAACTACTTGATTAAAGGTTTCTAAAATATATATTTTCCCATTTTATCAATAATAAATTTTTAAATAATAATGAGTCAAAGTTGAAAATTTTTGACAAAGAAAATTAATAAGAGACAATTTAAATAGGACAAATAGAGTAAATTATTAAAAAAAAGTTAAATCGTTGTAACTCACAATTTATGACAAAATATTAAATGAATTTGTAATGCTTTTACGTACATTGCAAATTAGATGAGATATATCATGAATTATTCAAGATCAATTTAGTTAGAATTTGATCAACATTGAAATCGAATTAGTAAGATTTAATATAGTTTTGCACGAACCAAATAATTTCAGTAGTAAAAAATTATTATCATCTCTTGAAATCTCAAATTCGAACACCACATATGTAAGAGTATGAATGAATATATATATATATATATATATATATATATATATCCACGGTCTTTTAATATAAAATTGAGGCCAGAGATGTTACTAGAGGTGGTAATCGGGTTATTCGGATCAAGCTCGATTCGGGTCATTTTTAGGTCTAGACTACTTCAGTTTGGATTCAATTCAAGTAGGATATGATCTGGTTCGGGCTTAGTTTGATTATATGAAAATTCATTTTGGATTGGATATCAGGTCGGGTCAAAGTTAGATATGTTGTTTTCGTTTAGGGTTAATTTTGGATTGATTGGCTTCGGGTCGGATCAATATCTGATCAGTTGGTTTTGATTTGGGTCAACTATTAGATTTTCGGATTGGTTTTAATTCGAGTCAGCTTTTAGATTTTTGAGTCAATCGTTGTTGCTCTTTGTCATCATAACTTTTGGTACTGCTATTTATTATTTATAATTCAAGAATTTTATGATAATATATATTGTCACATCCCCAAATTCAGAGTTAGAAGTTTTAGTTTTAATCAATCGAATTAATAAATCTTTAAAATCAAGAATTTTATGTGAATATATATTATCACAATCAAAATTCAGAGCTAGAATTTATTTCACTAGATATAGAGATGTTCTTTTAACTTAGGAAATATTAAATTGAACCATTAAACTATTACTAGAAGTGGTGGCCAACTAGTAGTATAATCTAGGCTTATTATAAAAATGAGTTTCTAAATTATACTCAAAGGTTGACTTTTGGTGCCTAAAAACTTTTTCGTTAAAAATAAGCGTCTAATGTTTTATTCGTTACATTTTTAGATGCTTACCGTTAAAAATCCCGTTAAATGACACATGTCACGTTCAAGTTTTTTAGAAAATATTTTTAAATAATATTTTATTTTAAAAAATTCAAACAATATAACCGTACATATGTCACTCAACGGGGTTTTTAACGGAGTGTAACTGAGAAAAATTACACCTTTTAACAAAAAAATTCTTTAGGCACAAAAAATAAATTTTAAGGTATAGTTTAGACATTTATTTTTATATTAAGCTTATATAATAGAATAAAGCATATATCATTTTACTATTTATTAATGCTAAAAATTGATAATAATAATAATAATAATAATAATAATAATAATAATAATAAAAGATAAATTGTTCATTTAGACTCAATATCGAATTAAAATCGAGTCAAAATTTAATTCAAATCAGATACAATAAATTAAACTTGGGTTGCTTTCAATTCGGATTGCTCTCGATTCAAATCAATTTCAGTTTGGATTGCTTTTAGTTCAGATTAATTTCGATTCGGGTCGATCCAACTAAAATTCAAATCTGTTTCAATTCAATTCAAGTTATTTTCGATTTCAAATCAATTTTGGATCATTTTGTTCACTGTTTGAGTTTATATAGGATCTCATATTAGATAAATCAGTTCAAGTAATCGAATATAGGTCAAATTTATCGGATTTAGATATTACTTTATAATTTATGAATATTACTTAAATCTTAATTGTCTAAATTTCTGATTAATTTTAAAACCATTAAGTGATCATTATAAACCTCTGTGCAAGCAGCTGTATTTGCAAAGTACATTGTATATTATTGAAAAAAATTGAATAAGACTCCGAATAGATACATTGATACTGAAAAAAAATAATTAAATGTGTAAATATAAATTTATGTATCTGGTGAGTTGGGAGCCAACTCGGGCGATTCCAGCAACCCTGGACTACACAATTTTACTCATCTCCCAATTGATGTTTCAAATTTTACTCCTGTTCATACTTCACAAGGCTTAGCCCTTTTATATCACCAAACAAGATCATACAGCTGAATTATCAAATGAGCATTTATGTTGTCAAATCAAAAGTAAAAATCTCACTTCATAAAAAATATAGCTTTTATAAAAAATATGTTTAATTACAAATTTCCAATATCAATATCATATTCAAGTTTCTTAAATTGTGGAACTTTTTTGAAATTCGAATTGAGTTTCTCGTCCTGTATATAATATTGCCAGCGATCAGCGAAAACCAGAATGCAATGCACCATACATACCTTGGACAAATAGATGCTTTGCTTATCCATTATCACCAAAATTTCCTATCTTCTTCATCTATCTATTTTTACAATAAACAACAAAAGGTTATCATGCAAAACAATATCCAGGGACTTCCCATGTCAACTGATTACATCACAAAACAACACTTCACCCCACGTTCTAAATGTACAAAACAATTTGTTGATGAACACCAATTTCACAACTCCCTTTACCTTCCACTGAAACAACTAATGGAACACATGCAGAGGGTACGGGAGTAAGAAACTAAGAATCAATTGGTCACAAGGAGCCGGGAATATGCTTCTGTCAACGGTATCTTAAAAGCACAAAAGCAGCAGTCTGGACCATATAGCCTTCGTACCTGCAATTTAGAATCTCATCTCGTCCAACATGGTAGTTAATGATTTCATAAGCTATACCGGTTTATACAGAACAACCTATCCCGAGACACCAGTCTACATGAAGTTAAATCAGTGGAAACCCAATGAGCCAATAACATTCCATGCAAATTACAAAAATTCCACCATCCACATCAAATTTACAGAACCACAATTAAAAAATGTAAATAATCCCAAAAATGTTCACATAAACCCAAATTAAGAACATTCTCGAAAAGAAAATTAAAAAAAAAAGATATGGAAAAGGAATTGTTTGAGTCACACTTGAAAATATAAAAAAGGCAGAGTAGGATCTAAATGAAAATTCTACTTGTTACTCAACACTTTTCAAGAAACAAATATTCAAACTGAAATAGAACACCTTTTTAAAAACATGAGAAGGTGAGAGTATGAAAACAAAAATGAAAATACAGACTTAAGATTTCTGATCTTTATAGTAGACAAGCAATAACTTTTGGGTACAAATTTAAAGACCATGTTTGCACGAGTGCCTCGAACGTCAGAATCACCAGAGTTGAAAATAAAATGATTGATGCATCTATGAAAGCATCTGCACAATGAATAATAAAAGCATAAACAAGTTTCAAAAACAAAGAGACTTGCGGACAAATATGAACTTAAGTTTCATACCTTTGGCAGAAACAAAAAAAATTTTGTGTTAATAAGCTTTAACCAACTAAAATTTGAATGACAACAATAAAAGAATACAAAATGAAACTCAATAAACAACGTTAAGTGAGATGAAAGCAAGCGTTATAATTTTAGAAAGTAAACAAAAGCATCGAATAAATTTTAAAGATATATGGATCAACTTTGAAGAAATATGGATAATTATAAAATTTGTTATGAGGTCTTCATATAAGAAAAGAAAAGCTCAGACTCAATTTCATCCCAACTCTTAAGAAGTCCACCCTTTTTCCAAGTGTTAAAAAATTAACCTTGTTAAACTAACACCAAACGATTAACTTGAAACATAATATTGAAGTATTAATATAAAAGTTAAAGCATACTAAGAAGTAAGAAATATTGTCCTTCATCAACAATTAAGTCATGTTGTTATACTAACACCGAACAATTAACTTAAAACATATTATTGAAGTATTAAATTAAAAGTCGGGTAAAGTACACTAGAGGTAACTGAACTACGGTTAAATTATCATTTTGATCATTGAACTTTTAAAAGTTACATTGTTACAAAAGGGTCAATGTGACATTATAATAATTGTAAAATTTCTATAAACTAATGACCATTTTTGTAACATTTTGATCACATTTAGTGACTATTTTGTAACAATTTGATAAAATTTAATGACCATTTTCTAACAATTCAATAAATTTAATGGCTATCTTGTAACGATTTGATAAAGATGGTGAGCAAAACAATCATTTGAGCCTAGTTTTTTTACCTCTAGTGTTACACTAAAAGTTAGAGCAAACTACGAAGTAAGATCTATAGTCATTCATCAACAATTAAAGTCCAGTTGAGGTTTTAAACACATCAATTCTTATGGCACATTTTTATGCAATTCTTTTTCAGTTTTGCAACAAACCTGATCCTGACCACTAGCCACCCATTGCGAGATCATGATTTATGCCATATTTCCCCATTAGAATCAAATTCACATTAGTTCTATTATGCATAAAGATCATGCAAATGCAACAATACTATAAATGATGAAAAAAATACAATATCCAGATACCTTGGGCTTCACCTAATGTCCCATGTAAGGAGCACTGCCACCGGATTGATTCCTACCAGCACCGCCCTGACCCATCTGCTGGTTTTGATACCCGCCCTGCACTCCATAACCTCCAGCAACCTGATTCCCATACCCTGCAGCGGGTGCCCCTTGATTGACAGGGGCACCACCAAACCCTCCAAGCAGATTACCAAGCCCCAAGCCTCCCTGTCCAGAAAGCAATGCAGTCAAAGCCTGTCCAAGCGCTTGGTTTAAAGCAGGTGCAGCAGCAGGATTAAAATCAGTAGCAGCAACTCCAGGGTTGAACCCCACTGCAGTAGGACCAGATGGAGCCATCAAATGACCAGTTTCTGATCCAGATGTCGAATACTTTCCCTTCTTAGCATGGTGGTAATGAGACTGAATTTGATGTGCTCCTTGCTGATGATGGTGGTACTGCTGATGATGCCCTACAGAAGGACCTCCTCCATAACCACCTTTAGTCAATTTCGGCCCATCAATGGCTTTTTGGCAATGCAAAACATGACCTTCAAAATTCTTATGAGGCTCCTCCAGTGCCTTCCTGGCACTTTCAACCGACCTGTATACAAAAAGGGCAAACCCCTTTGGTTTCCCTGTCTGCTTATCAAGTCCCAATGGACCTTCTTCAATTTCCCCATACTGTCTAAAAAACTCCAGCAGCTTCTCTGGGTCCAATTCAGCTGACACATTGCTTACAAAAATCTTCTTTTGAGCATACTCAGAAGAAGGTGGAGCATTCGGAGGAGGTGCTGGAACCGGCCCTAGCGAAGCCAACTGGCAAGAAGTAACTCTATTCCCAATCTTCTTCTGAGGTTGCTTCAAAGCCCGGCGTGCCCCGCTCCGATGCTTGAATAGAATAAAAGCGTAACCTTTGGATTTCCCAGAAAACCTATCGGTAACAGCTTTGCATTCTTCAATTTCCCCATATTTTGAAAACTCGGCAGTGAGGGTTTCAGCAGTGGTATCCCAACTTAACCCATGAACGAAGATCTTCCTATGGGCCGGGTCTGCATCAGCGAACTCCCGAACGGACGAGATAAATTCCGGGTGTTTATCAACAGCTTTCTTAATAAGGGTAATCAATTGATCTTTCCCGAATGGCTCTAGAAGTTTCTCGAACGGCTCCTCGTCCAATTGCTCTTCCTGATCCGTTCCCTTCAGGGCTCCATTTTGAACGGAGACGTTGGAGGAACCGACTAGAGTTTGGTTTGTAGCTTGTTCGCTTTCTTCATCATCATCATCTTCTTCCTCGTCTTCTTCATCTTCATCTTCATCTTCAACTTCCTCTTCAACTTCCTCTTCAACTTCTACTTCTTCTTCAACTTCTACTTCCTCTTCTTCCTCTTCTTCCGCTTCCTGTAGATGTTGCTCCTCGTCTAGTTCCGGGTTCAAATCTTCGTCGGATATATATTGGGGATGTTCTTGCTGCTGTTTTTGATTTGGTTGAGGATTTGACGTGGGCTTGGTGGGTCGGGGTTCAGAGGATCGTTGCTTTCGCTTTTTCGCCATGGATGAAAATATTAGGGTTTTTAATTGGAGTTTTGAAGGAATTGCTAGGGTTTAGAAGTCGACGTAGTCTATCAATATATAGCAAATAAATTTTCAGTTCCCAATCTTTTTTTTTCCTCTTTTTGGTTAATCAGTTCCCAATCTTAGCTTTTAGATTGCAGGTATATCTTTAACTCTTATATTTATTCTATAGTTAAATTATATAAATTTTCACTAAACTTTCTCCTCTTTTATTTTGATCACTAAAATTTAATTTATTTTAATTTACTCATCAAATTTTGAAGATTGAATCTTTTTGTCACTTTCTTTAAAAAAAAAAAAAAAGAATTTGGGCCTCATTAAAAACTCTTTCAATGAACTCAAGTTGGCTCTTTCAATGAACTCAAGTTGGGTTCTTATAAGGGGAAAAATACCCAAATGAACAATCACGTTTTACATAAGAAAAAAAAATAAAGTGCATGTTATCTCTTTAACATTGGGATGATATATCATTTTTTATTAATATTTGAGTTACCACATGGGTTTTTATTAATATAATTTAATTATTTTCATTAAATTTGTTATTCTATTGGTAATCTTTTACCGCTCGTCGTCTCCATCCACCTTGCTACTTTTAAATCCAAATCAATCATTTTCATTTGAACCAAAAGCAATGTCAAAACAATTCTCTCAACCCATAATAAACATCACTCAATCAAGAATAACTCAACTGAACCTCACCATCACCACCCACAATTTCACTATTCTCATCCTATCGACCACCTCCAATTCACTATCATTAAACCCATTGCACATCCAAAAATTATTTCAATTTCTGAACAATCTCTCACTGAAAATCTAAATATAAACCCCAACTTTGTTTTATCACTATTAACAACAATGCAAAGAATCAAATAAAGTCGAGAACCAACTACAACTTTAACATATCAAACCAAATTGAGAAAAATTTCAATACCCCAATGCGTTAATATATATTGTCTGAAATAAGACCCAACCCAAATCTTGAACCAAATACAATATTGTAACCAACAACAATAGTAAAAAGAGTAAAGATATAGGAAAAATGAATAATAAAAGAAAGAGAGATGGACAATAGTGAGAAAACTATCATATCATGATTTGACATTGATTTAACGATGAAGGAAGATGTTTAAAAACAAAGAAAGTAAAAGAGTTTTGACCTAGATCCATAAATTTTAGGGTACTTTTTATGAAATGAGATCAAATTCATGTTTCAAGAGGTGGAAAAGTGTCTATGAAAAATTTGAGATTCAACAGTCACCCTTAACGACAATAGATGATGGTCGGTATGAAAAAATGATGTGGTGTTTAACAGTACCAACCGATCAGATTATGTACAAATTATAGAGAAATCAAGAGGATTGGAAAAGGAAAGATGAAGAAATGAATGAAAAAAAGCTTTTATAGAGAATTTGAAACATCCTCATTTTGGTGCATATTTGGTTTTCTTTTAAAACGACATCATTTTGATGATTGTGTCATGTCATAACATTGTTAAATAGAGAACAATAAAGTGACCAGAATAAGAGCAATTCGAAAGTTTAACGAGTAAATTAAAAAAATAAACTTCAATGAATAAAATAGAAGAGAGAAAACATTTAATGATGGTTTATGTAATTTACCCTTATTCTATTATATAATAGAAGAGAGAAATCTCTCTTCAAGATTGTCGCAAAAAAGAGATGGTGGTTTGCTTAATGTCATGGTAATTTCTTGGAGTAGATGTTGAACCCAAAGTACTTTAGTAGTTGCATTTGCTACAACACGATATTCAACTTCTTTGGAAGAATGAGAAATTGTTTTATGACGAGCTGACTTCCATGAGATGAGAATAGAACCAAGATAAATAACATATCCAATATTTGATCACCGTCTTTGGAGGATCCACCCTAATACTCATCCGCAAAGATAGTGAGATAAAGTGAAGATGTCGAGTGAAAAAAGAATGCCATGACATATCATACTTTTCAAATAACGCAAAATGCGTTTATATGCCGTCTAATGTGCAAGTAAGGGACCATGCATGTACTGCAAAAGAAGATTAACAACAAAAGCAATATCCGAATAAGTATGCGATGTTGAAGGAGTCCAATTAACCGTCGATAACTCGAGATATCTAGTGACATAGATAGCTTAGGAGTGAATAGTTTATTTTCTGAAAACATTAAAAGAGATTCTTTAAAAATTGCTTTCTCATTTTTTGAAAATCATGTGAAAACATGTAATACCCCAAATTTTGGTTTGTGACCAAAATGTAACTTTTGAAAGTTTGATGGTCAAAGTATAAAACTTGGAAGAAATTTTAGGGAATTAAGTGATAAAGTTCCTAAAAACAATTTTATTCTATAAATAGATAGTTTACTCTTGAGTGTGGGATTTTATGGAAATTATATTTTAGATTTGGAATTTTAGTAAAGAAAAATTTGAAATGGTTAAAACCAATAAGGAATCGGTAACTTCATATTGAATTAGAATATTACAAAAATTTGAAGGATGTTATAAAATGGTTGGATGTATTATTTTAATATTTTGGATCAGAGAAATTTGGTCTGGAAATGTGCAATTTTTCAAATTTAATCGAAATAGTGAAATTTAGTGACTAAAATACAAGTTTTGAAATTTCATGAGAAATTTCAAAAATTAAAGTCAAAATAATTCATCTTTGACTTTGAAATATGATAAGGATGAGTTGTCATGGTTTTATGGTAAATAAGAAAGATTCATTAAGGGTGATTTGGTCTTATCTCAATTAATTGAATATTATATTCATTTAAGTGGAATATAATGTAAAATATTATGAAATGCACCCAACATAGGTTTCTAATAAGGTAAGAGAAAAATTTCAACTCAAATTTTCAAGCAATTTACTTAGGATTTTGAGTAAGTTGTAAATAGGAAATTGTTATATGCGAAAAACTCTATCTTTTGGTACCAATATTGCATGGTAATCTTGTTGGTGTTCAAAGATCCCAAATTTAAGGGTTTGTGTTCATATAAAGGATCATGAAATTGATGATGGATTTTGATGTTTGTGAGGTAGTAGATTCATATTCAAGCATGTGTGATGATTAGAACATGATTAAATCTTTTTAGAACTTGTTCTATGAGTTTTGGTCATGGATTGTTTGAGTGAGAAAAATTATAGAAAAAAATTATATATGGGTTAGAAATGATGAAGGAAGTGTTTTACAAGTCTTAGAAAAATTTGAGGACCATTTCGTAATTTTTGAGAAGTTGGAGATCAATTCGTAAATTTTAGAAAATTTAGGGGTTGTTGTGTAAGTGTTATATAATTGATGTATTATGCTGGAAATTGTTGATTGGGAATTTAAATGAGTGTTATATGTGAAAATGGCTATTTTTGGAAGTTTGAAAAGTTTGGTGAATAGTTTGAAGTATGATGATGGAATTTATTTTGGAAATATATTTATGTTAGTACAATACTAACATATATAGATATGAATCTATATTTTGTACGGATTGTGATTTACTCGGTGTTCAAAATAATTTGAGTATAAAAGAAAAGGGTTATTGTGGACAATAGTGAGGCTTATATTTTGGAAAATTATAAAGTGTCAAGGTGAGTGCAATACATGCATGAAATTATACATGGATGTTTTATACATCATCAAGAAGACTTGCGATAAGTCGACCTTGTTTTATCAGCATGATATTATACCATATTTTTATAAATTGATATGACATTGATATGTCATAGTATGAAATTATAATGCTTTGATTTTGGAAAATGTGATATTTTACCATGAATGTTATTTCGAGTACGAACTGCACAATGTTAAATTATGATAATATACTTTGTCATGGATGAATCGAATAAAATAGACTATATGCACAAGTAAGTCATTGAGGGACAGGGTATAGTTGGCATGCCATAGAGTATAGAAGCTGCAGGTTTATAATACACTTCGGTGTATATGGTGGGCACGACCTTATGTGTAATACACTTTGGTGTATATGGTGGACACGACCTTATGTGTAATACACTTCGGTGTATATGGTGGGCACGACCTTATGTGTAGAATTACGGTGCAAATATTACTCGAATACCCAGGGTCCTCAGGGTTGTATATTGGGCTATTGTCTATGGTTATGGTTTATTTGCAAATAAATGATAAACATACAAATAAGCTTACGAGCTTATGGAATAAATGGCAAGTATATTGGTAAGAAATTTTATACTCAGTTATATTATTTTGATCATGGTAAAATATTTGATATGCTGATAATATGATTTTAAGGTATTTTGGTTTTCATAATGAAATTCATGCATGAATTGTATTGCACTGTTATTGTTTTAATTGCCTCACTAAGTATATACATAACGTGTGATGATTTTCACGTGTAGGTCAAAAGCCCATAGAGGAATAGAGAGTTCAAGGCAACATCAAGCATCAAGAAGTATATTTCTTTATCAGTAAGACATCCTAAGATGTAATGTTGACTTTATTAGTGACATGTAACTATTAATGTTTTAATTACTTTGTTGAACAAATTTGGAAACAAAATGATAATTTTATGGGTTTTGTATAATGCTGAAGTTATTGTAGCGGTTACTGTAGCGGTGCATCGATGCACAATTATAATTTGAAATAGGGTGCATCGATGCACTGTTCGCGTTACTGTAGTAGTGCATCGGTACACTGTTCACTGTTCATGGCACTATTCATAAAAAATCTTTTGAATTAAATTTGTTACAGCGAAATATAAATTATATGTTATGATATTTTTATAATATCAATTATTATTTTAAGAATATAAATTTTAAATCACTTTTAAATTGTAAAATGGTTTTAGAAATTCGGGTGACATGTATAATCTGTATAGGTATAATTATATGGGTTATGGGTGTTACATTTATTGGCATCAGAGCTACAGGTTTAGCCGATTATAGGACTAAACTGAGTTTGTTTTGAGTTAAAAAGTTTATACATGCCACTAGGATGTCAAAAGTACTGATAGTTGTATATATACTGTGATGATGCTTATTAGGAGTAAAGTTACTCTTTACTAATGGACGATGATTTTGACTGTGTTCATATGTCAGATCATCAAGAATCAAGTAGGGCAGGCGAGCATGTTACTCCTGTACAG